TTGTAAATGGAAGATTATAAGGGAGGGTTTCGCGTGCCAGCAAAAGTTCCTGGTGTGCTATGTTTGGCATGCGTGCCAGGGGTTGCCCACCCCTGGTATAGAACTTCTCTGCTTAGGCCCATCTGGTGTTTTCTCATGGGCTATGTTAGACACATGCTCAGCGAAAAATGATGACACAAAATGAAGAGTTGACAATGGAGGAGAGTTTGGAGGGGACGGAAGATCAGGACAGTTTTCACAGAGGGTAATTATGCAGGTCTATTACAGCGCCTCCCCGTGGGACTCCTAGAAGTAATCTCCTCTAACCGCAGCCCAATCACTGCAACGTGGCTACAGTATGCTTTGTCAAAAGCAACGCTAATCTTAAGGGTCTTTTGACCTTGTTTGGTTCTCCATTGCCTCCTAGATGAAACTGAAGGTTCTTCACAATAGGTCCCATCCCCTGTCACTCCTTCCTCGTCTTATCCCTACTCAGTGCACTCTCTACGTTTCTGCGACCTTCCAAACGTCCATAGTGGGAGTTTCTATGCAAGGAGCCTCGGAGTCCATGGACCTCAAGTCACAGATCCCTTTCATAGACTGCAACATTGAGCATTATATAGTAGAGTACCTGACAACGGCTTGTTTTATTTAGGATCTTGAATTGAAAAATAGTTATCTTTGTTTTAAAGCTGCATTAAATTGGGAGGGGATGTCTCACAAAGTAAAGCATCTTTAGACCTAGAGATATTCCTATAGCCATGACTTTGGAAAATAGGGTAGATCAAGTTTGAGAGAAGGGCATTTTCCCTCTGAATTTAATTTTAATTTGGGAAGGATTAAGGGTAATTCGATTCAGACAAAAAATTTAATATCTTTAAAATGTCCCCTCTCTTCACGTTATTTGATCTGAGAAGATGGATGGATTGAGTAATTGGGAGGAGGGGTTACTGGCTCACAGCCAGGAAAAAGCCTGTGCATTCTGAGTCAGTTGCTTGGAAACAGGAAGCCAGGCCTTCCAAACCTTTTTTATTTTTTTTGTCAAAGCAACATGGGCTGTGTCCAGAGAGCTCCCTTACATTTCTGCAGGCGCTTCCTTCAGGTCTTCACTCCCATGTCACCTTTTAAGAGCGGCCTCCCTAACTCACCTTTATAAACTTGCAATCGTCCCCTCCACTTCGGCACTTGCTGCTGCTCTTTGTTGCTTAATATTTTTCTCCTTAGCACTTACCACAATACAAAATGCTATATATTTTTCTCTGTTCCCATTTTTCCCTCTCAAATAGGAGCTCCACGTGGACAGAGAATTTGGTCTTGTTTTGCTCACCGCTGTATCTCCGGTGTCCACCACATAGGAGGCATTCCATAGATACGATGAAGCTGAATACAGCTCCTCCGTGGAGCCTTTTCTAATTCCTCCGTGGAGCCTTTTCTAATTTTCTCACTCACCCCGCGTGTGCTCCTGTAGCGCTGTCCCTCGGCAAAATTAAACTCATTATTGATCTGACATTAAAGCTCGCGTCTTCCATCTGGGATTTATTACTTTCAAAGGGTTTAGAGATGATAAGCACCTATACAAATTAGGAAAGATTTCAATGACAGCAGAATGTGAAAAAGACAGGATTTTAGTGAACAAATCAGATTCAAAAGTGAGTGAGGTTTGAAAAAAAAAATAACCAACCAGCCACCCACCCTCCCAACCCACGGAGTTTCAGGCTGTGCAACAAGTGAATCAAGTTCCTCAGCGTGGACCTGATCCAATCTCAACGGAGCTTTGTGCTCAGTGCTGGTGCCACGCTCAGCAGCGGCCTGCAGCACACTCGGGAGAGGGGAGACTGGAAACAACACTATCAGAAGGAATTGGGAATATTGAGCCTGGGAACGAGAATTCTTGGGGATATAATAGATGTCTTCCGATAGCTCAAGGGCTGTCATATTGCTGAGGAACTGTTTCTTCTGTGCGGTCTTAACAGTTGGAAATTACAAGGAAATCTATTTTGGCTCAATTCCAGTACAGTCTTTGAGGGTTCTGATGCAGGCTGTGTTGGGGCAGGGGTCAGGGTGCCACAAGTCCTATCGGCTGGGTGGGTGCCTCCTGTGTCCTCTTGGCTGGGGGTGGGGGGTGGCTCCTTGTGTACATCCTGCACACACCCCTGCTCTCCTCAGCCTCCTGTTGTGAGATGCTTGCTGCCACACAGCATCTTAGCTCATTGTGTCCTATGCTTAGAGTACCTATAATTTATTTTGTTTTAAAAATATCATTTGTGCCCGGCCAGCGTGACTCAGTGGTTGAGCGTCAACCCATTATGAACCAGGAGGTCATGATTCGATTTCCAGTCAGGGGACCTGCCTGAGTTATGGGCTCAATCCCCAGTGCGGGGCATGGAGGAGGCAGCTGATCAATGATTCTCATCATTGATGTTTCTAGCTCTCTCTCCCGCTCCCTTCCTCTCTGAAATCAATATAAAAATATTTTTTTAAAAAGCATTTGTTGCCCTAACTGGTTTGGCTCAGTGGATAGAGCATTGGCCTGCGGACTGAAGGGTCCCAGGTTTGATTCCAGTCAAGGGCATGTACTTTGGTTGCAGGCACATCCCCAGTAGGGGGTGTGCAGGAGGCAGCTGATCGATGTTTCTCTCTCATCGATGTTTCTCTCTATCCCTCTCCCTACCTCTCTGTAAAAAATCAATAAAATATATATATATATATATTAAAAAAAATCATTTCTTACTAAGTATTCCGCTTCATTTGTTTGACTTTCACACTGCCAGCTGTTACGGGAAACTTTCATATATTGGCTTGGCATAGACAGAGACGATGTGAATGGTCCACCCTTTTCACTTCCTTTCATTCTGGACCATGGTCAAATCCTTCAATCATTCTGGACACCTCCTCATGGCAGGTGAGTGACAGTGGTTGATATCAAACACAAAGTCGAGTACAATTCCAGCATACCAAAGGCTGAGTAATCCTGGTGCTGCCAAGAGCCTTTCAAATCCATGCTATTCTTGCAGGAAAGACTGCAGGAGCTCTCCACAAGGGGAGAGCCCCTCCCGGCCCCCAGCACATGGAACAGAGTGTGACTACTCGTCCAGAGACCCCCAGTACCGTCCCTACCAGCCTCTTGAGGCTGTGGATAGCTGTCAAACACCTGGGGTTTCTTCAGTTCTTCTATTTTGCCCCCACCATTTTAACACCAAGACTTTTTGTTACTGTCTACTTAGGATATCTACAACCTTTTTGGTTTTTGTCTTCTTCAAGCACAAAGTAGATGCTCAAAAAAATTGTTATCGAATAAAAGCCAACAGCTGCTTTCTTAGTTCAGGTTACTACAGTGATTTACAAGCAGTGTGGCACAAGAATTTTTAAACATGCAATACCTGACTATTTAGTCAGGGGCATGGACCTCTTTTCCTTTAGAATGTCAAAAAAAAAATGACAACAGCTAACACACTTGCCATCTGGCGTGAATGAATCAAAATTATACTTTTTATTTTTTGGTCAGTTTGGCAAAAAACATAGTTTTTGGGTGTGCTACAGAATTTTAGTAATTAGTTTTTATGTGCCATGAGATGAAAAAGGTTGAAAATTGCTGTGCTAACCCATATTTCATTACCATATTTAAGTCTTCCATGGCATTCAGGATAAAGTGAAAGATCCTCACCATGGCAACCGGCTCTTCATGATGTATCTGCCTACCTACCAGCCTTCCCTGGCCCTTAACCGTCTGGTCAGCCTCACAGGCTCATCTTTGCATCTTCTAGTTTGTTCCAGAGAGCACTCCCTGGCTCACATCCCTCTCTAGGGTTTGCCAACACCAACTGGGGTAGAACCCTCCTGGTGTGTTTCCGTGGCACTCTGCTCTGGTTCCTTTAACAGTACTCATTAGACTGTAATGCCTTGAGGTGCAAAGGAAATCATGTTAATTCCAGTCCAGTGCCTGGCCAACAATAGGCTCATGTCTGCAGGAAGCATGAAGGAGCTGTGTGTGGTGCCCATTTCATAGGACTCCCTTGGCAGCACAAATATGTGGAGCGGGCAGCATGGGAAGCGTCAAGTGAACAGTTTTTATTTCTTCCTCTGCCATTAACAAAACATAAGACCTAAGAGGACAGGAAGAGTAATTCAAATTCTACAAGTCCCCCCAGCTAGGACATAAAATATTTTGAATTATGTTAAGTTTCTCATTTAACCTTTGCTTTTATAACTATTATTCATATATATAATTTCTTGATCAAGATCTAACTTCTGTTAAAAACTATATAAATGATGCCCTGGTTGGTGGCTCAGTAGGTTGGAACATCATCCCGTACACCAAAAGGTTTGGGGTTTGATTCCAGGTCAGGGCACATATCTAGGTTGCAGGTTCTGTCCCTGGTTGGGGCACATATGAAAGGCAACCAATTGATGTTTCTCACACTGATGTTTCTCTCACCCTTCCTCTCTCTAAAAAATCAATAAACATATCCTTGGGTGAGAATCAAAACACACACACATATAAATGACAATTTACATACTTCCACGTTAGAGAGAGATTAAGTGCAGAAAATGGGCACTGGTAAGCGTATGCAGCTTTATCATAGAATACAAGAAAGCACTCTGGTGTCTCAAAGGTACAAATTCAATGCCATGTAAACTACTACTCAGCTGTGTGATTTGGGAAAGTTCCCTGGTGGGGGGGGCTGAATGTCCCTCCTATTGTACCCCCACCCAGTAGGTACTGAAGTGTTAGTTCTCTTCCTCTCCCTTATGGTTTTGAAGATCTGGGAATACAGAGCTTCAGTGACAAGAATTTTTTCTTTTACTTTTGAAATAAAAGGGAGGCATTTAGTTTCTTAATTCAGTTTCACTTGGATGAAACAGCTACTTTTTCAGCAATAGATAATTTTTTAGTTATATTAATATTACTTTTAGGAAAATGTAATTTTGTGTTACTGATATGCAGACTGTCTTTGGAATCTTTTAAAGGAAATAAAATTATATTTTAAAATATTAAACACATAAGAAACAAGTCAGCAATGTAATGCCCCAATGAATCCTGAAAATTTATTACTTGGGAGAATATCAGATATTGATCTTTTGTTTTACAGCTCATGATAATAATCAGAAAATATACACTTTGAAGTGGAAGTCAAAAGAAAAGAATAATTACATATAATACACAGACTACAGATATTTTATTTGTACATAAGCAAAGCAGTACTAAAAGCATATTTATGTGTCCACAATTAGTGAACGCGCGGTGATTTTCTGTTTAAAGCTGCAGCAACTCAAATCCTTCTGGGGTCAATAAAGAAAGACAAATTGAGAAATACACTTAGGGCTATCACCGTGTCTGGTTGTAAACCTATTTTTTAATCTTTCCCTTCCCCCCATATATATATATGTATATACTTTATTGCCTTTATATTTCTGCTGGTTTAATATAATTAGTATACTAAATAGTTATCTGCATTTATTTGGTTTCTAAAAATATATAAAATGCATTGGAATAGAGCTCCTGCAGCTTTCCAGCGGCCACTGTCCTGGCATCGAAAGCTCTTCTGGAAATGTAAAGCAGCAATTCTGAATAAATAGTGATTGTTCTGTCTTCTCCATACAGCTGATGGCCTTTACCCAAAACTCAACAATACTGTAGCAAAGAGTATAAACATGCAATTAAAAAATGGACATAATACAAAAGTAATACTTATGAGTGAAATTTTACACAATAGAGACTAATAAAGACAACTTAGTAGGTAGAAGGGGGATGTGAACACAGCATTGCTATTTACATATAAATTAAGGCCCAATTTTTCAAAGGCAATGCACACAGGAACTGCCCATCTGCCCGCACCCTCTGCATACCTGAAATCAAGAGTTTTTGCTTTTTCCTTATTATTTCCTCAATCCATTATTATAGTTTAATTTGGAAAGACATTCACAGAAAAGGCTTTAATACAATTCCTTTTTTTGTTAGGACTGTTTTGCTCTTATTCACAAAGAAAATTTTTTTTTGGAAAATTTTCTTTTAATGCAGGTAAAAAATGTATGCTCTGGAAGCAAATGCTTATTTGTTCTTCTTGAACACTGTTAAAATTCACATTTCGTGTCATCCTATATTTTTACTGTGTCAGTGTTGTCTAAGCTCTAGTGTATGACTATGACTAATTTGAAGTATGAGAACTGATGGTTAGTTCAGTGATGACTGGGGGAATTGAATGGGTAACTCCTATTAATACCAACGGAAGTCTCTCACATGTAAATTCTCTGTGCATCAAGACAAAAAAAAAAAAATGCTAACAAGCCAAAGTATCTCCTAAGAAAGACAAAAGGACTCTGGCAGCCCACTACAGATCATTCTGAGGACGGCAGATGCTTAAAGGGTCATATATGTACTAATGCTATTTCAAATTATTCCTTGGTAAAAAAAAACTTACCTTCTAATGTACTTAATACTTATAGAAAACTGCAATAAAAGAACTTGCAGTAAATAACAAAGAACTTGTCATCTAATTTAGTATTTAGAACCTGAATATTCCCCAGATTCAAAATTTTATATTTGGTATTTTTGTATACTATTGCCCAGCCCCCACCAACGATGTGGTTTATACAAAGATGTATCCAAAGATGTGGCACTTAATCTAATTTGTATTCGCAATGGATAAAAATGATTAGGAACAACTGAAGTATTTTTTAAGATGTTCTAGGGAAATGGGTTTTCTTTGCACTATTTTAAAAACAGACTTAGAAAATATTCCTAGAGGTGTGCTCCCAGAGGTACTATAACTGATTAAAAAGCACAGCTGCTTAATGCATTCATCAAATTCATGTTTTTACCTCTTCTCGTCGAGGAAATATTTTTATCTGTAATTAGATTTGTAGAGATTACTTGGCAGAGATTTGTAGAGATTACTGAGAACTCAGATGAAGTTATCAGAGAGGCTGCCATGATGCAAGGCTGGGGAACCCAGGACCACTGCAAGGTGGAAGGATGCTGCCAGCCTCTCTTGAGAATTATTAGATTACTGCTGATAAGAATTTATAACAATTAATTTGGTGTTGACTCTGTGTTTCTCATGGCATGCCAAGCATCTTTACAATTTATAATTGCAAAATTTAACATATCTTTTAACATTTTTATTTAAATAGAATGTAATCAATTTATAAAAATATTTTTCTTTGTGAATAAGATCACAATTTCTCTGGATAACAACAAAATGACTCTTAGTATAGGATGGAACCCTTTAAAAATAAGGCATATATCGGGCATACATAAATCATTACTGTCACAAAATCTACAAATTACTTTGATTTTTTGATTCTCATAATTTTCAATCATATGTAAATATGAAATAACTATTTATAAATTGAGAGCAAATGTGTATAGATTGTGGTTATTTAGGTAAGAATCAGTTATTTCTCAAATCATTTGCAAAATAGTATAATGGCAAGGTCAACTCAAGAACCCAAAGAAAGTAATACCTTTAGTTGAGGTCTGCCATTTAGCTGGACTAGAAAAGGCAATTCTGCATTTTACTTTCAGTTCTCTAGAAGCTTCTATATATTTTCATAGCCATTCTTAGAATTTTCCACTGGAAACCTAAATATAGCAGCATTCTCAGCATTCATTAAACCAAAAATAAGTGAAATGCATTTAAAACATCCAAAGTTGCCCGCATGCATAAGCTATAACTTACATCTTTTTATTGTTACCATGGCATTAATATACTAATCCATTGTTACTTTGTTACATGTAAGAAATTGAGAGATGTATTTTCCTCAGAATTAAAAACTAGAAATTTCAGAAAAAGATCTTAATGATATCAGAGGGAATGTAAAAATGGCTAAGAGGTATCTGACCACATCCATTTAGATATTACTTGTGAGTCTTAAGTTAATCACTACTCATGAGAGGGGTGCTGACTCGTTTTTGGTTTCATAAATAAAAAAATATATGTACAAATGGAGATTAACGTCCTATAAAAGTCAAGCTCAAAAATGAAAACAAACACTGAATTTAACTTTATTTCCTTGGTAAAAAGTACCTAACTCCAACCCACTTTCTCGATCTCTAAGTGACTGGAGAAATTGCAATAGTCTACAACGTACAGAGGAAATGATGTGCAAGTAATACCTTCCCCACGGGCGCTTACACCGGAAGACTACAATAAGGAAGTGGGCCATTTAAAAAATACATCACTTAAAGCAATCTTCCTAAAGTAGACTGACCTGGTCCTCAGATATCTCTAACTTATATATTATGGCAATTCTGAGGATCCATGAGAGTAAAAGGATAAGGCGGGGCAGGGGCATAACATAATGTAGCAGGAACCCCCTTGCCTGTTTGAAGAGATATTCAGCATTCCCGACTCTGTCCTACAGTGTCGGAAGCACTGCACACCTTTTAAACGTACAAGTTACCTCACGAAAATATTTCTGTTCTGGTATGTGGTCCTTCATGTACTGAAAACATTGTAAAGAAAAAATATTAAACTCCAGATTAAAAAGAAATGCTGAATTATTTCAACCAATTAAGCAATGGCTAGGACAAGTCACAAAGTCAATCCAAGTGGGTTCTCTTGGAGTTTGTTGCGATGGTGGAGCACACTCTGACACTTGTAAATCAGCATTCTACGGGGGGAGCCTGGCCACATGCACACAGTCATAATCACAAGTATGTAATGTAATTCGGTCACAAGGTAAGTATTAATAAAAAACAGTAAAACACTAACATTCACACATTAATTGATTACATGGAATAAATTAAACTAAGCCAGTCACATACTTCTCTTCACTCTTAAGTCACTTTTTTTTTTATGTATACACACAGAATAATACTTTCCTAATGCTCTCAAAAGGCTACACATAAAAATGAAGGCTTTGCATTACAGCTGCTGGATAAAAATGTCAACACTGTTCATGTGTGGAAAGAGTTTCTTTGTTCTTTAGCATCAGTGCACAGGGTATGGCTCCAAGTGGTATGCAATTTAGGACAGGAAAAGACATGGTGGCTTGTGAAATACATCTCTGTTTGTCATTGGCACAAATCAAAGGAAGAATCTGTACTGTCCGTGGTACCTTTATTGGGTCTCTCGCCCAAAGACAGATACTGTTATACATATATGCCTTCAGGATTAAAACCAGATGAGATAGGATTCTGCAGAATCCGAAGATTAGTGGGGAGTTGCCGAGATGAACCAGGCCGCTTCAGGGAGCCAGACTGGAATGCTGCCTCTAAACAGGAAACAAAGAGTCATCGGGTGTGCTCATCAACCTGAGTACTTAGCAATATGAACAATCAGAACTCTTCCTGCCACCAGGAATCAAAGAACATACAGAGGCAATTACAATCCGCTGTGGGTACTGGGGTGACAGGCTAACTCTGCTTGCCCCTCTCAGCTGATACACCGAGTTTTCAGTGATTTGAGCAGTTACTGATCTTTTAAAGAAGGTGAGCACTTTGCTTCTCTTTCTTGGCTACTCAGACCACATACATATACTGATTTAGAAGTGTCTTTTAAATATCAGGTCAAATTCATTAATTTTAGGAGAGGAAGAAGGGGCATTAGGAACAGAGAGAAGCTAAAACTCAAATAGACTCTGACTCATACATACTTCAGGAAAAGAATGTAAGATCTGGTAATTTCATGCTCACTTACGTAAATAAATAACCTAAATACTATTGATTTTCCCCAGAAACAGTAAGTACATAAAAAAAAAATTAAAAATGGCCCAAGAGAATTAGCTTGGAATGGTTAGGATAACACACTTACTGAATGCCAAATGTTTATGCATAGTTAACAGGTGAGAATAACGTGAAAAACAGATTTCTCCACATCTTACCCCGTTCTATGTCTATGTGTGAGGCCTCTACTTCAATGGGCTCCGCTGGCAAAACGGTCACTTTCGTCCCCGTCTGCTGGATAAACTGCTGGAGATTGACTTGCCGCAGCTCTTTAGTCAGCTGCTCCAGTTCCTGTTCTTTGTCCTAGAGAGAAATGAGAGTGTTATTGATTGGAGGGTCAGTACTGGACACCCATCCTGGTGACAGTCCGTCTGCTGCAGGGCTGAGGTGGGATGCTCGCCGTCACAGGAGCGCACTGAACAAGTCTGGCTTAGAGCTACAACGGGTACAGAGGTCACTGTCTGTGTGGCCTGGGCCAAAAAATAAGCAAATCAAGGACAGCCTGGACTCTTAAATGTGATGCTTTCCTCTGCTAGGAACGCACTACGTACCCGATGAAATAAGTGTGATAGGTCTATAAACTGTCATCAATAAAATACTGATTTCCACCATTCCAGTTCGTTCAGCAATCTTGCTAAGCTGTTAACAATGAAACTGCCCTATCACCCTCTTCATAACTGACTGCAAAATGAATAGCCCTTTGGTCCATGAGAGTCAGAGTTCTTGTTTTCTGTAAACTGCTGAAGTTCCCATGAGGTCCGTTACTGAGATTTGTAGCATAGCAGGAGGAAAGCAAGGTTCCCACAGGATTCTCACTATGGGGGTTTTCAAGCTCTGAAGGAGGAGTTTTGAGAAATGAAGAGCCCTAAAGAATGGAGATCAAGTCTGGACAGCTGGAAAGGTCTAAGGCCAGGAGAGCGTTCTGTGATTTAAATGGATTTTCTCTTTCTCTCCTTCTCTGCCCACCTGGGCTGGGGGTGCCTGAGGACTTTGGTAGGGCAGGGAAGACAGGAGGAAAGAGTGGTTGTTTACTTACTTTGAGGGTAGGAGGTACTTGGAGATGTTACTATTTACTAGAATTAGGTATCTTTCACTAGGTAGTGGGATTTACTAGCAATGATTGTCATAAATTAGTGTTTCCTGTAAGTAATATCAAAGGTAACACAATTTCCAAATGTGCCCTTAAGTGTCAAAATGAATCCAAATAGTAAAATACTGGCACATTGGAGGTTAACCTTCTACAGAGTGAGAAATTCCTGATTTTCAAAATTGGGGGGAGGGGTAGTTTTCTCTCTCACTCTATAGTTAATGTCAGAGAAAGCACATCGGTTCTTCCTGGAACCTGAGCTTTCTCTGCTTTTGGAACGGTTCACACTCTAACGTTTCCTCTAGAGCAGTGGTTCTCAACCTTCCTAATGCCGCGACCCTTTAATACAGTTCCTCATGTTGTGGTGACCCCCAACCATAAAATCATTTTCGTTGCTACTTCATAACTGTAATTTTGCTACTGTTATGAATCGTAATGTAAATATCTGATACGCAGGATGTATTTTCATTGTTACAAATCGAACATAATTAAAGCATAGTGATTAATCACAAAGACAGTATGTAATTATATATGTGTTTTCCGATGGTCTTAGGCGACTCCTGTGAAAGGGTCATTCAACCCCAAAGGGGTCGCGACCCACAGGTTGAGAACCGCTGCTCTAGAGCTTCAATGTGCACAGGTACTAACTGGAGATCTTGTTATAATGTGGATTGTGAATTTCTAACAAGTGTGAGGAGCTGCATGGACCGCACCCTGAACAGCAGCTTCCACACGAGCACCTGAGATGTGGGCAAATTCCACTAAAAACAACCTTAAATTTACTTAATGCTTGTAAACAGCTTTACTGAATATTTAGTTTGAATTTAAGTAGCCATGCTATAATCAATGGTGTCTTTCTCACATCAACTTCCATAACATCACCACCTTGTCTTTTCAAGAACAGATATCCAAGAAACGTAAGTTGAGTGACCAGGGTAAATGTGAAGAAATGTAAGTGCTCTGAGACTGAGACTGGAGAGGGGAAAGTCAGAGGTGGGCCTCTGTGCCCTTCTCCTCAGGAAAGCGAAGGAGAGTAACGGGAGAGGGGAGGAGGGAAGGGACTATTTTCACCCCAGGAAAGAAGATGGGGTTGGCAACAATGAAGAAGCCACAGATAAGCGGCCAACTGGCCAGACAATCCTTGGTAAACCAATCCTTGGCAATCTCTTTTGGCGTTGGTTTCTCTAGCTCTGAAAGAAGCTAGAGACTCACTATCGCATCATTAGTGTCCATTCCAGCTGAGATTCTATTCTCCGATATCCAATTACCTGCCGCTGCAACCGCCGCAGTGGGACAGCCCCTCCCTGGAGCAAGGGGCAGTGTGGCTTCTGCTCTCTTTGGTTCCGTCTCACATCTAAGCTTTATGGTTAAGTCACAAGAATTCTAATAAAGTTATAAACTAAGGTAGGTGCCTAACTTTAAATGTAAGAGAAAATGGACACTCATCAGAGATGTCAAAAATAGATGCTTTTAAAAAGATGATCATTTTCTTTGTAAAAATGTGCTTACCTGTAAGCGTTTGGTGGCTTGTCCGAGAGATCTTTCCACAGCTTTAATACCATTTTCCAGCCTCAGGCTCTGCTGACCTTGAACGTCAATCTCCCCTTTGACCTTACCGATCTTCCCTTTAACCTCCTCTTCATTGACTTGTGCCTCCTGGACTTCCCGTTGCAATTTTTCTGCCTCAAGACCGTTTTCCATCGTCTGGATCTGGGCCAAATAGTCCTTTAATTTGCTCTCGCATTCTGTTATTTTCTGTCTTATTTCTTGAAGCTGATCCTTCAGCTGTTTTTCATTTTCCTGTTCAATCTGCAATTCATTTTCCCAAAATTCTTCCTCTTCGATTTCTACATCATTTCTTTTGATCTTTTGCTCCAGGCGGACAATTTCCTCTTCAAGGTTAGAATTATATTTTTGCTCCCAAAACTGTATTTCTATTTCATTTGATTTCAGCTCTTTCTCAATGGACTGAAGCTTCTCCGTCTGCAGGCGGATCAGCTTCTTTAGCTCGTCTGCTGTTGTTCTGCAGTTATTCAGCACTTTTTGCTTAAATTCAGTTTCTTTACCTTTTCCAAAAATGTCCATTAACCCTTTGGCACCGCCTGTAAATGTTAACGATTTCCTCTTAGGTTCTCTCCGTTTGATGGATTTGTCAACCTGAGGCCTCAGTTTGGCTAAGGGGGGCAAACTCTGCCTGTATAAAGTTCTCTCAGGAATTCGAGCCACGCTATCAGAAGTGGGCCGCTCACTGAGAGACGGCCCTGTCCGACGTAAAATAAGCTGCACGTCACTGGCATACTGCCCCCATTTGTTTAAGGATATGATGGGATTCTCATGAGGTGCCAAATGTCTCTCAGTATCTCTCCATTTTTCTATTAGAGTGTACCTTCCAGTTCGACCTAGATTTAAAAAAAAAAATAAAGATATGAACAAACCGTCAAAATGGCACATGCGATAGCTAAAATAATGAAATAAATGATGCTCTTCAATAACTGTCTCTTTTTGATTAGCATCAAGGTTCAGCCCACACTGCCTCTGAAACTTTCACTTGAAGACACTGAACTCCTTAACATATGTAACAGCATCAACTGACAGGATGTGAACTGCATATGCTCTTCAGACTTGCTATGAAATTCAACTTAATTCTTTACACCTCAGTGAGAACCTGACACTCGTGTCCAATACCTGGTGGCCTAGACCTTCCTGCCTGGGGCAGGACCTGCAGCCAAAGCCAAGGAGGACACCAGGATGCCCCACTGGAAGCCCTAAGGACCCGGTCGCAGGAACCAGGTAGAACTGCGAAACCTGAATAAACCTCCACTTGGTAAATCCTCTGCGTTCTCTGCACATCGGAGGCCCAGTTCTCCTCCTGAAGGGACACATGCAGCCAAGTGGACAGGTCTTTACTGTCTCCCCATGAGGGCCGGCAAACCCACGTTCACACTGCGGCATCTCCCTGCACACCTGCGGCCAATAAAACAAATCACCTCACTAGAAACAACCCTTCAAAATAGCTTCCCATGAAAAGCGGGGCCTGAAGAGAAGTCTTGTTCTGTTTTGGTAGTAAAAGCTTCAAAGATTCTTCTAAAGAATTTAAAAGGCAAAAATGGTATTGAAAGCAAAAACAGAATAAATTCACATTTAAGTAAAATATACACTGAGCCTAACTAGAAATTATGGAAGATAAAAGTTTCAGAAGACAATATCATGCCATTAGCTTGAACAGACTTCCTATATATTTCCACTTAAGGTGAGTGGTTCAGGATTATATTAATTTTGTTAAAAGTGTCCATTAGGTGACACTTGAAACTAACATAATGTTACATGTTAATTATATCTCAATAAAAAGCAGTGTCCATTAGCAGTTAATGTTATTACAAAAAAATAAACTAACCCTGACATCTAGAAATTATAGTGCTTGCATATATAGCTATTGATTTATCATTCCTGCCTTTTTTTTAATTTCATGAGCTTCTGAACCAACAGTAGTATTTTCTCAATTACTGTGTCATTACATGGGAATCTGGATATGTAAATATGAACACCCATGCATGCAATTCAGAAGCAGCACATGAAGAATGATACTGCTTTAAGCATGTGCAATGTTCTCCTTTAAGGAAACCTGAATGGTGGGTGCAGCTGAAAAGTTGGAGCTTTGGAGGCAAACAACTGGAGACTTACTTCCGGGTAAATTGCCTACTGGAGGTAGCATAACTTTACTTCTGTATGAGGAGAGTAGCAATTCCTCACAGGTTATAAGAGTCGGAGTCAAGTGTAGTAAGCACCTACTACCACACCTGGCCCACAGTAGGTACTCAGTATGTGGTAGCCATTATTAAAGACACCAGAGCCCTGGTACATGAATTCATGCACAGATGGGGTCCAGGTGGCCTGCCTGCCCCGCCCCGATGGGGGCCCATCAGGGGTGGGGCCGGCCGGGGGGAGGGGCCACGGGAGGGCTCCAGGGTGGAATTAGAGGGGCTGTACTGTACTAGTTTAGAGAGAGAGAGAGAAGGACACAGAGGTTCAGTAGCAGTCATTCTGTCTCTTGTAGTTTCAGAATCGGTTCTATTTCTACCACCTAAATCTAACCTGTCAAATAGTCAAAGGTCCGAGGAGAAAGTATTCTTTCTATACTACCAGTCACATTCAACAGCTTGTATCAAAGTACGTTCTCTTTCGCTCCAGTCTGACAGGACTGCGTAGGAGCACTGCATCAGATTACCAACTTGTGTACATATGCTCATCTCAGTGGTTTCCTGAGGTAACTGCAGCTGCCCAGAAAACTCAACAATCCCGAATCCAGAATATATATATATATATCGTGCCACCATAAAGCACATAGATGGCCTTAAACCCAAGAAACTAGTCTTTTAAAGTTGCTTCACTATACATTTTTTAGAAACATGCAGCCAGTCTATACTCTGCTAATAGTATAACTGAACTTTTACTGTTGTTAAGCCACAGAAATCCTGGGGTTTGTTACAACAGCAATTTCCCCTAATTAATAAACCCTCTATTATTTCTTATAGTAGAGATTAGGCCAAATCCTATAAAATTCTCATTTAGTGTTTAGACTGAATACCAATAACTCTCATTACAAGACATATAAATATTTAAGTGCGTATCAGCATCCTGCATTTGATGCCGAGACGATCTTGGGCACGACGGAAGCAAGGAGCCACAGGCCTTGGCTGGCTGCCAGCTGAGTCATCTCTTAGATGAATTCTTAATTCAATGAAGTATTTATGATACAGAAAGAGTTGTTAAGCCTTGGAGAAATATCATAAAACATCCTCATTCAAGTTGTCAACTTTTCAAAACAGGTCTGGGCTGAGATATTGAGCAAGCAAAAATGGGGAGCAGATTCTGTTAAAACTTCTTTTCAACTTGTTCACTAACAAATACACTCCTGAGTGCAAACGGATAAACTCACACCTGGGACATCTGGGCATTTTTCCTTTGAAAAGCTGTGCAGAAAATGTGGTTACCACGTAGACAAATGCAGCTTGCTATACTCCTCAAGTACCAGGCCTTTTGTTTTTTTTTTTGTTGGTTTGTTTTTACTACTGTCCATGGCTTGATTCTCAAGTATCACAAAGTTACGTTTGACACTTTCTAATCCTAGTTTTCACTAAGGAAAAAAACCCACACTAACATTTAATTCAAATAAATTTCCTGAAACTTTTAAAAGGGACAATTACTAAAGTAAGGTGGTTGCAAAGAATATGAAATAAAATTAAATACCTGAATTCTCCCCTCTTTAATAAATAAACTTAAGTCCATAACCTAGTATTAGTTCCAATTGCAAGAACATTTTGTTAGACGTGAACGCCTAGGATATAGGAGTGTGCTATATGGTATTTAAGGCAAAACCAAAAGAAAGCCTCTATCTTTGTATATGGCATTGCCAACTTTTAACAGTGCATCTGCCACAGTGCCGGTGGCACACTTGTCTCTATAAAATGTTAAACTGGCTTGTTTCAACCCTGAGCTAAGTTGACATGCTTTCAATATAAACTAGAGGCCCAATGCATGAAATTCATGAATGGGTAGGGTCCCTAGGCCTGGGTGGTGATCAGGGCCGATCAAGGCCTTCAGCTGCTGGCCTGGACCTCCCTTCCCTGGCTGCCAGCCAGGGCGTTCCTTCGTTCCACGCCGCCTCCTGGTGGTCAGCACACGTCATAGCGAGCGATCAAACTCCTGGCCTCCCAGTTGAACTCCCGAGGGGATACTTTGTGTATTAGGCTTTATATATATAGACTAGCATGACATAAAATAAACTTTTGATAAGAAGTTCAAAGACAAAGAGGCACCGAACACCTAGCATGGAGCTGAACAGTTTCCTCTGAATACGTGCTTGCTAAATAATGGATTTAAGATGCAAATATAAACTTGAACCCACATTACTGGCTTTCCCGATATAGATGTAGATGCCTTCATCATGTTCCAAAAGGGTTTTAGACAACTAAAAAACACTCAGACAATGTGATAAAGATAAACTGGGAGCAAAAAAGAAGAAAAAGTGCATAGAGTAATTGAATAAGATAGAGCCAGCAAGCATATACTTGACAACTTCATCTTTACTATATGATAAGATTTTAAAAGTACACATTACCTTTCTAGTGAAAAACCATGTTATCTAATTTGTTGCATTTTCTTTTCTAAACGTATACAGAATAAACAGTAAATAGGATTTTTCCAATGAGGGGCCTGGGAATTAGGACTCCAGGTTTTGACATCCTTCATTCCAGAAACAATTGTTTAGGATAAACAGCAGAAGGGAAGGCAGTACAGACTCTAGACCAGCCATGGGCAAACTACGGCCCGCGGGCCGGATCCGGCCCGTTTGAAATGAATAAAACTAAAAAAAAAAAAAGACCGTACCCTTTTATTGTAATGATGTTTACTTTGAATTTATATTAGTTCACACAAACACTCCATCCATGCTTTTGTTCCAGCCCTCCGGTCCAGTTTAAGAACCCATTGTGGCCCTTGAGTCAAAAAGTTTGCCCACCCCTACTCTAGACTCAAGATTAGTAAAATCTGGGGGGAACCAGAGAGGCAGGGTCTTTACAGATTTACCTAAGCACACGGAACAGTGATAAGTAAAAGTAAAAGTGAGCTTGTGAGATATCATGAAAGCAAATGTACAAAACCCGTTAGAAATCAATATTGAAAAAAACAACAATAGGACCCATAAACAACTTTATCTTAGACACCAGGGAATTCACTTACCTATCGCTTGAGCTAAGGCTATTACAACCTCCTGGCAAGTTGTGACTTCGGTGACCCCACAAACAATCCTCTGAACTCCATCCACCCAAACTTTAAGTTCCATGGTGCACCAGCTGGTCACCCAAGGGCCCTGAGACTGGTCATCAATAGCGTCAGGTCATGTCTCTGGCTATGGAAACACGGAGAAGGCAGTCTGTGCAGTCAGCTAAAAAGAGGAAAACACATTTTTAATAGAATGAATCTTAGGATTTCTTCTAGTACGCAAATATTACACAAAACAAATTTTAATATATGATGATCCTACCATCAATGACCACGTGCTTCCTTATTTTACAGAACTGAATTCAGCCACGTGAATGCAACTGAAGCCACCTGTCATGACATTGTTTCATATTACTGCTATTTTCATAATTATAATTTTAATCATAAGGCCACACTCTCTATTGGGTAAATAAATCTTATTTACTCGACTAAGTCCTATTGCTCAACATATAAGCTGTTTCTTTTAAAAAAAATTGTTTCATTAGAATCATTTCTGAGGTTAAAGAGAAATAAAAAAGTTTTTGTCATTGTAGGAATCATACATAATGGAACCAGTTTCTACAGCCTTGGCAGCATTTGCAGAGGTGTGTGCATAACGCCATGGTATTCCTTGTTCCGTGTGCCCCTTGCCTTCCTCTCGTCCCCGAGGGACTGAGTGCCGTCTTCACAAAGCAGAGCACAAGGCTCCGGTGTACAGAGAATATTAAAGGAAAAGAATTCCTTTGACGGCTGACAACTTCCCCATATATGTCCTTTTCTCATTTACTTAATTAGGGTTTGACAAGTTTCTGAAATTATAAGTTATTCTAATAATAAAAACCGTAACCTTTTGTTACACTTGCCATTTCCCAGTTATTTTTTTGTTTTGTTTAGCTGCACTGCATGTTAAGCAGAAATTTGTACATTCTCCTACAGTCAAGCCAAATGCCTTGATTTCTTCTATTTGAGTGTCATTATGAGCCTGCTAAAGATCAATTAATTACACATGCTTCTTTTTCCTGTGGGTACTGAAAATCTCAACTCTTCCTGCATTAAATCTTTAATCAACTATGATTTGTTTGTCCACTGTCCTGTGATTGTCCAATTTTTCTGTGGTTTTAAAAAACCGTTAACGTTTATGAGGTGTAATACACACTGACTTAATTAGAAAGAACATGAAGTTGAGGTTTACAACAGCATTGGTGTTTCGAGATTAATGCCTTATTAAAAAGCTTATTTTAGAAACCCTAAAAATGTTTCTTGTAAAGTAGTATTTACTACAAACAGTAACTTAGTTATGCACATTCTCTTACAGGACCTAAGACAGTTCTAGGCCACCTGGCCACCTGGGCAGATGAGTCAGAATACATGTGAGTTGAAGGAGAATAAGCCTAACAATATTCCTACTTTCTCTAGGGAAGTTACAAAAATAGTTCTTGTCATCCCGAAAACAAGAGGAAGGACCGGCCTAATGTTATTTCCCAGCACGTGCTTTAGCGCGCTCTGCAGTGCCAGGGCGGTTTCATAAACCCCTATGCAACCAGAGAACGGGGCATTGCCCATGACAAGCTGATTCCCGTAACTGCGCTCCTCAGTTATGAAGCCCTGTGAGCTGTTAAGAGTTTCTGGGGAAAAAGGGTTCTAAAAGCAAAGAATTGTAAGAAACACAGTAAATAAAGTCTTGAAAGCTCCTTTAATGGGCTGGTGTGCACTCTACACTTCAAGTAAGAGGTTTATATGCTACTGTCCCCAATCCATTTAGAGAACATTTAAAGAAAGGAAACAGAGAAGAGTTAGGACTTAAAACAAAATTTGTTTCCTTCTCTGCTAGACACTCCCTACTAGAATTAGAATATGAATTATTCTGTCTTGGAATAAATTAAGATTTAAAAAATGGCCAAACAATATATAAATGTGTGTATGTATGTATGTGTATGTGTGTGTATATATATATGTATATATATATATGTATATATATATATACAGTATTAAATTAATATATTAAATTTAAGTTATTTGATTAAAATAAATAAACGAGCTGAATTTAAAAAGAAAAAACTCAGTTGCATTAAAATCTATTGAATACCTAGTCTCTTATCATTAAAAAAATTTAAACTTGGGAAACCTAACAAGAAAGACAGCAGATCTCACTAAAAGTCTGTCTCCTCACAAAGAAACCTGTCATTTCAAGGAAACTTAAGAAGCACATTTTTAGTTTCCACAAAGGTTTTAGTACACCACCACATATTTTCCTATCTAAATTACCACAGTTTCACCTTGAGCTTTTAATCATTAAGTGAATACAAATGAACATAAAACACATGTCCATCTGTTAACTATTACAGAGTATAGTGATGTGGGAAAACACTGAGCACAAATAACACTGCCCAAGTTAATATAAACTTGCAGGGTATTTAACCACTGGATCAGAGACTTCCTACCGTGATTCATCACAGAGAAGACCTGATTCTGTGTTTTTGTTTTAACACCACTAATATAATACAACCTTGAATCGTTAAGGAGGGTAGGAAAAATGCCTTCATGGATCAGATCAATGACCCACATGGCCCCACATTTTATTTCTAGAAGGGCCGCTGGTTTTAGTGAATGGCTGTCAAGTTTGGGGCTGTACTGACAACGATGCCTAGCTTCCCTAGAACCATGAGAGTCATTTGAAGAATCTATCTTCCCAGAAGAGGCCCCTAGAACTCCCCGTTCTTTCTTTCAGATCCTCCAAAGCCCAACTCCGAAAGCTCTGCTCCCAGCCCCAGAACTAGACAGGAGGGGGAAAGTCCTACATTGTAGGCGCGTGTGATGGGCAGGTCATCATTGGAACTAAAGACTCAGGAAGCAAACAGGCTTTGGAACCTCAGCTGGAATTTGCAATAGTTTTTTTTCCATGGAAACAGTGATGCAGGTAGAAGTAAGGTTCTACTAGTGAGGGTATTAATATAAGGAGTATGTGTTTTCATTATGAAGTTTCTATATTCAAAGCACTATCATTTTAATAATTTTGATAATAAAGAACTAAGTTTGTTAAGTAACATGCTACTGCTGAACAAGTGTTCTTTAACTAACAACCATTTACTATCTTAAAAGCCTATTGGAATTAAGCATCTGAATTTATGGAAACATTTCCCCAAGATTAGTGCAATTACATTCAATCCTCATTATTCATGGTTTCCTTATTTGTGAAATCATCCACTAATGTTTTTTTTTTGTTGTTAATCCTCACCTGAGGATATTTTCCCATTATTCTTAGAGAGAGTGGAAGGGAGGGGAGAAACACAGAGAGAGAAACATTGATGTGAGAGAGTCATGTTGATTGTCTGCCTACCACATGAGCCCCGCACAGGGCTGGGGATTGAGCCTGCAACCAAGGTACGTGCCCTTTACCAGAATCGAACCTGGTACTCTTCAGTATTCAAGCGGACATTCCATCTACTGAACCAAACCAGCTAGGGCACTAAAATTTACTTTTAACCCCCAAACTAACACTTGTGGCATGCTTTAGTCATTTACAGACATGTACACAGCAGTGAACAATTTGAGTTCCCAGCTGAGGCTGGACAAATCATTGCTCTGCCTTCTTGTTTCTGCTTTCATACTGTCAACAAGTGTCCTTGTCAAAGTCTATTTAGTGTTATGTTCTTGCATTTTTGTGGGTTATTTCACTGATTAAATGCCCCCCAAGCATTGTCATAAAGTACTATCTAGTGTTCCTAAATGCAAGAAAGCTGTGATGTGCCTAGGTAAGTTTTGTTCCAGCACAAGTTATAGTGCTGCTAGCTGTGAGGTCCAGTGCACGGATTCGTGCACCAGTGAGGTCCCTCAGCCTGGCTTGTGTCCTCTTGCAATCCAGAATCCTTCGGGGAATGTCAGACTGCCAGTTTTGACCTGATCCCTGGGCCTCTGGCCTGCAGGGATCAGGCCAAAGCCAGCAGTCCGACATCCCCCGAGGGATGTAGTAGTACACAAAGGGACAGGAGGCTGGGGAGGAGCCCGAGCCTGGGCCGGGCGCCGCTCCCACTCATCCGGGCCCCGCTCCCACTCATCCGGCCCCGCTGTGCCTGCTGCCACGCCTTCTTGGTAGCACTGCTGTGGATGCGGGAGAGTCTTGCGCCACAGCAGCCACGCACGCCAACCGTGAGCTGGGCGTCTGGCACCCATCAGTCAGCTGAGCGGTGTTCCCCTTGTGGGAGCACACTGACCACCAGGGGGCAGCTCCTGCATTGAGTGTCTGCCCCCTGGTGGTCAATGTGCATCACGGTCAAATGGTTAACCAGCTGACCAGCCTAGGGGGGGGTATATATATACATCTATACTATATATATATACAAATTATTATATATATATATTTATATTTTAGAAGCCCAGTTCCTAAATCAAGGACCCGGTGGGTTCCTAACCCTGGGGGGTGATTAGGGCTGATTCAGGGCTTCCCAGCTTGCAGCCGGACCTCCTTTCCCCCACTGTCAGCCGGGGCCTTCCTTCCTTCCCCCCCCCCCTCCAATGGGCAGCACCCCTTAATCCGGATTATCAAAATCCTTGTCTCCCCGGTGAAATCCCAAGGGGGCCCTTCGGATGTTAGGCGCGCGCGCGCACACACACACACACACACACACACACACACACACATACACATATATATGGTGTTTTTAAACAGAAAACGATGTAAAACAAGGTGATGTATTGATCACTTGACAAAACTGTAGTGACCAAAGGCCCTGGTGAATAACAAGAGTTGACTGCATGCTTTTACATAGTTTAACTTCCTTTGATGGTAAACATCAAGCTACTGTGTAAATTCCATTATTTCCTGGACACTAGACACAAGCATACTGACAAATAGTTTACTGCCAATTTTAACATTTCCTTCATTGCTAGTTTTGCTCAAGATCTAAGGTTATTGCATACCATTGCATTCTTTTTAAAACCAGTATACAGATAAACTGAGTTATAATAAAGTCCTCACAATCAGAGTAGCTACTTTAATGAAATGAAATGCTGATGCTAGCCACTAGTTGTTGTTGTTGTTTTGGCAACACAGAGAGAAATTCAGCACAATGAACACAGTATATTCTGAATAGTAGTTATTAGAATTACTAATAATCAGGTACCAAAACTTTTCTCCTACCCAGAGTGTTAACCAACAGGTCATAAAACATTATCAAAACCTTTTAG